TAGGGAATGGTGTAATTTCCACTTTTGAATTTTGTAGGTTGAGCATAACTTAATACACCGTATATATTGCTTTTATTGATTAAACTGAAATTTTGGCCCATGTAGGAAAAATTCAAAATTAAGAGGTTTAGTTTTACTCATTTCAAATTTTAAGATATCAAGTTTAAAATTTCAGATTTTTTAAAGTTTAAAATTTCAAATCTCAGATTTTTTAAAATTTTATTTATAAATAAATTAATTAAACACATATTATATTAATTAAATATATTAAGGTCACAATTTCATATAATTTGATCACAAATCACAAATTTTATGTCATAAATTATTTTACGGTCACAATTCAAAAATTTTATAAGTCACAATTTGTTCATCGGTCACAAATCAAAAATTCAAATATCACAAATTATTTTACGGTCACAATTCAAAATTTTTATAAGTCAATTTGTTCATTGATCACAAATCAATAATTAAAACGTCATAAATTATTTTACAGTCACAAATTAAAAAATTTATAGGTCACAATTTACTTCATTAGTCACGAATCAAAAAACATTATGAGCTTGTTTGTGAGAGATTTTTGGGGAGAGAATTGATTTTGAATAGTGATATGATGGAAAATGTGTGGTTGAAAATGAGAATTGATTTACTGTAGAAAAATTTAATCTCTTCCAAACAGAGCCTATATATCACAGTTTATCGATAGGTCACATATGTTCAAATTTTTTAGTCACAAATTATCAAAATTTAAGGTCATAAATTAATAATGAGTCACAATAAACCAAATAGTCGATCACATGCACCAAACACCCCTCCCATCCCGATCCTCCGCCAACACTTGGTTACAAATCAGCCAAATAATAGGTCACAAATACTATCTCACACCGTCCCCGCCACAACACCACCCAAATCACCACCGTTGCCACCTGTTCCACACCACCAACACCATCGCCCCCGTCACAACACCAACACCATGGTCACAAATACTATCTCACCCCGTCCCGTCACAATACCACCTAAATCACCACCGTCATTGTCCCCACAGCCACAACCACAGTTGTCGTCCCTGCCACAACATCACCCCAACTACTACCATCGCCTTCTGCACCACACTACCAACAAAAATCGCCCCCACCCCACGACAACACAACCAAAACTACAACCACCTCACTGACAGCCATCATCGTCGGCACCACCACTCCCTTGAAACCACTCAATCATCTTCTTCATTCCTCGCCACAGCCCTCACCACAATCAACACCATTGAACAGCCACCATCGCCCAAAAATCAACAAAATCGCCACCCAAAAATCAACAAAACCACTGTCCAACCACCAACAAAACAGCCGCCAAAACCACCTCACCACCACAACCACCAACACCACCGCCACCATTGCCTCACCACCACAACTAGAACACCGTCTTCCTCGTCTACCTCTTCCCCACCGAATCAGAAATCTCAACCCGTCTTCTTCGTGTTCCTCTTCCCCACCAAATGTTTTTGCTTGACCTTGCTTCCTCCAACTCCGATGGTTGTACCACGATTGAAGACTCGATGGCGTGAGCCGCAGCGCTGCTCACGCCACACAGCAACGACGATTCGCCCCTTGGGACAGCTGCGATGTGTCTCGTAGAGGCAACATTTGCGGTGGTCTTCGGCGAAAGTAACAGTTGGAATAGAAAGAGGAGAGAGATGAGAGAAGACGAGGATGAGGAGAAGGAGGAGAGAGAATGAAGATGGTGATAAATGATTTGAGATTTTTAGGGTTTGGTTAATTATAAGTTAGATATAGATGAATTAATATCTGATTTTTGTATAAATAAAATTTATATCTGAAATTTGAAATTGAAACTTTAAACTTCTGATTTTTTGTAATTTCCTCTTTTTCTATCCCCTCTTATCAATCAAATATTCTCTCAATAAGATAATATTACATAAACCTAAAAATTCTTTTTACTTTTAATTATATATTCTTCAAAAAATACTATTTCAAAATCATCTTTTTTTTTAAAAAAAATAATGAAGCTCAACTGCTCAAGGGCTTATATTCCATAGACCCAACACATGGTAACAGAACCATCTCTGGTCCACTCCATCTGCAATGCGCCTCTGCCCACCAAATCATTTTTAAATTTTAAAATCCACGAAAAATCATTATAGACGTTAACTCCCTGAAGCCCTTTCCTGTGTAACGTCTAAAAAAGAAAGTAGTATCTGATCTTAATTTCACCAATATAATAAACCCATATTTTGCACTCTCAAATTCTTGAATATCTCTGCAAATCTTGAATTTAGTTCTCGGAATTTTTGAAAGCAAGATTCAGAGGAAAAATTAAAAAATATGAAGGGGATGAAAGGGAAGCCACTGAAAAAATTGAAGACTTTCAAGGCAACTGGGTACTTAAATCCAGAAAAAGTTCTTCAGGTAAATGCATTGGATGAAAATCTCTACACTTCACCCCCGAAATCGAATTCCTCGGCTCGTCCTGCCCTTGTGCAAATCCAAGAAGAGCCCAACAAATGCGTTGAAATCAGTGTTCCAGTACAAGAACCAGAAGTCATTGACGTATCAGAGCTAATGAAGGACCTGGAAGATCAAGAAATGGAGTTTGACGATGGAATCAATGATAAAGAAAACGTTAGGCCATCAATAAAGTCGAAGATCCCGAATAATTTTGAAGAAAAATTGGAGATTGTTCATTCATCTAAACAAAAGAATGAGGTTCGTGAAACTAATCAAATTGAAGGAGAGGAGAGAAAGGATATTCCTTTATCGGAGATTGATATATTATGTTTCAGGCAGCCGGATTCAGATTCTGGAACCCTTTTTGATCCTAACCTTCTTGCAGCATTTGAGCAGGCAATTACAGAAGTGAAAGCCCAAGAGGCAGAGAGAAGATCCAGAATTGAGGTAAAGAAAAGGGGGATTTTGGATGATCAGGAACAAGTACCACCACCGTTAAAAACACGAAAAATCGAGGAAGAAAATGATTCTCTTCTAGAATTCGAAGAGAAGTGTCCACCAGGGGGAAGTGATTCAGTTATTCTCTACACAACAGGGCTTAGAGGAATACGAAAGACATTCGAGGATTGTCATAGGCTTAGGTCCCTATTACAGAATTTAAAGATTTTGTTTTACGAGAGGGATATTTCGATGCATTCAGAGTTTAAGGAAGAATTGTGGAGGATTTTGGGTGGAAAAGTGGTGCCTCCAAGGCTTTTTATTAAAGGGATGTATATAGGTGGAGCAGAGGACGTTTTGGGATTGCATGAAAAAGGAAAGCTTAAGCCGCTCATTGAAGGAATTGCCATTAACAGATCTGAAGGTCCATGTGAAGGCTGTGCTGGAATAATGTTTATTATGTGTTTCAATTGCAATGGAAGACGAAAAATTATTTGGGAGGGGAACAATGAATCCATAAATTGTTCGGATTGTAATGAGAATGGAGTGATCATATGCCCCTTTTGTTGTTGAATCATTTGCCTTGTTGTCTTTTTTTTTTCCCCATTGTTATATTATCAGGATGTATGGTATGTAGTAGCCAATTGAGCAACAAGATTTTAATTATTTTTCTTTTCTAATATGATCTCATTCACCTTACCAAACATGTCTTGGAGAAGTTGGGGACGTTATATTGTATAATTGTATTCTTTGATTTGTTCACTAGTTGTACCAAATGGAAGATTCAGATTCCATGTCTTACCTTATTTGTTTGTAGAGTAGCGGTCTGCTCCTCTGAGAAATAAAGTAAATATGTTCATCCACGTGCAGCATTCATTTTCTCATGAGTTTTGAAGTGCAGCTAGTCTTGAATGTAAATTTACATGTTTTTTTACCTTGCCTAAAAGCTTAAATTGCTAGATTCATTCTAACTCATTATTTTTTTGAAAGGTCATTCTAACTCATTATTGACAATTCAATTTATAAATTACACACAACAAATGACAGAGAAGATTCTAAGAATATATTTTGTACCATATACTGAATATGATTTTATCGTACCAACATACAAGGTCCACTAAAACGGTGAAGCTGGGCTTAGGCAATCTAGCCAGGTCAGGTCGAATACCCATGGCCCATGCCTTTCATAGAGAGTGAGAGTGCGTCCTCTCTCCTCTTCTCCATCTGGACAGGCATTTTCAAGCCCCTGCCTCGCTTTTTTTCCTCTCACCTCAAATTCAGGTCAGTAAATGTATAAAATTTACGCAGACATGCCTACATTTGCATGACGATAAATCTTTATGATTGTTTTTGATAACCGACACATTTTCTGCTGGTCTTGCAGATATAGTAGAAGACTAAGAAGAGGTAAGCTTTTAGAACTTTGATGGTCTTATTTGATCTTATCAGATGTTTAATCTCTCAAAAAACTCCAGGTCTTTCAAGAATGTTAAAATTGCATCCAACCGGATGATTTTTTAGCAGAATGGCCATCTAGTATCGTTTCTAAGTACCTTTTTCTTTTGTAAGGGAGTATCAACTGAATCATTGTGCTGCTACGAGTGTGTTTTCTAATCTGCCTGGACTGGGAAGTGATTTTCCGAAATTCCTCGCTAATCAGACTTCCTTCTTCTGTTTGAAACAAATACAATGGAATTGATTTTTTGAATTATTTCGTGAATTTCACTCTGACAATTACTTATTCGTTGAGAAAATATCCTACAGTAAGTCTGATTAGTAGATGCAATTTCCCTTTCTAGAAAATATTATCCAATATGTCTGATTTTGATATGGCTGAACCTGTTAATGATCAACTGAGTGATGTCAATATATTGGTCAATGATGCCTCCTTGATGAAAATGAGAACTTATGTGCTACTTCTAGGAGACACATTGGAGATCTTGGAATGTCTGATGGTCTGAATTACAAAACACGAATTTCTGTGGGATTCTTGTGAGTAACAATTTCTCCCTAATATGAATCCCAAGAAATCAACGTAATTGAGATTATGTTCTCAGTTATACTACTGCAGAGAACCTGTCTTCTTACCATGCAGTTGTTATCGAATAAATCAACGACATTGGCCTAGTGTTTGAAATGGTCTTTCGATTGTGATTTACAAATAAATTTGACTTGATACCTCAATTTGATTGGATTTCAGTTTGCCAATTTGGCAGGTTAAAACTGAACATAGGCCACTTATTTCTCTCTCTCCCCCTTTTGTGATATTAGGCAGCCAACTTCCATTTGATTGTCCTGTCTGACTATATTTTTTAATTTCTTTTGAACCCTTTTGCCCATTTTGCTGAAAAGTATCAATAAATTTCGTCATGCAGAATGTACGTATCCTGTCCTGGAGGTAAATTCAAACCCAATTATTAAAGCTGGTGAAAATATTTTTAAAACCATCCTACTATTTTTTGTTGAACTTAATCTAAATACATAATCGAACATAGTGCTGATGTTAAATGTGAACTCTTAAAATTTCAAAATAGCTCCTTCAAAGCTCACTATCTCTATCTGAGACCTGATAGGTGTTGGAGAACATCGCTCTATCCTAGAATGTCAAAAGTTAAAACGAACTGGTGCTCGATTACACAGGCAATAGAGTGGACTCTGTCGCCGTAAAAGTTCTTATAGGCATAATCAGAAGACACTGTCATTCCTGATGATTGGTGGTATGTTTTATTGTCGCTTAACCATGTTAGATACTTGTTGCAGGAATGACAACGTTGAAATTTCTCGTGATAGCTACCGCAAATCCTTCAATGTTGTATATATGGTGAGTGCATAACTTGTAGGGACAGGTTCACACGATATTAGTGTTAAGAAAAATAAACGATCTTATAGAAAAGTATAATGTGCAGAAATTAAAGATTGAATA